AATTAAAAAAACATGTGAGGACAATTCTTGTAATAATTCATTAGTCATCGAAAGAGTTTTTTTTTTTTATTCACACTACATCCTTCATTTATATTATTTATGATAGCAATTAAAAGCTTATATAATTAAATAATTCGATAGTTTCAATGCAGTTTTTATGTCATGATTTGGAGCATATCTTGTAGAATTTGGTAATAGCTTGAGAAAGAAAAATATCGGATCATACATTGCTCTTAGTAGGATGAGAAATAAGCAGACTCTGAAATTAAAGATTGAATCTATGGACTGTCAAGGATTCCTCAAGGATTATTCCAAAGTTTAAACAAAAAATATTGTGGTTTGAGATCTTTTGCAGTAAACATAATTTGGGTTGTAAATATGTGACATTTATGAGGATAATATACGGATATTTTTCCTTAGGTGTTTATAAATTGTACACTGTTCAATTATTAATGTTAACAACGAACTATTTTAAATTACAAAATTGTACTTGGATTAAATGAAAATTACTTACAATATAATACATATTACTTATAATACATTCTTTCTTGACGTCAATTTTGATGGTACAGGTACACTAGTAATAATAATAATAATAAATAAATAAATATATATATATATATATATATATATATACACTCAAATGGATAAATATCAATAAATGTACGTGTACGTGCTCAAATACAAATACGTACATATATTCTTTGGTGTAAGTAAACAGTGCTCAACGCAGAGCTGATAGAAACCTCTACAGAATGCAGCATTAGAAGAAATATCATTATCAAATCCTCCTACGAATTACTATCTGTGTTTATCTTCGCTTGAACCGGCTTCTAATGCTCCAGTTGGTAGCGGCTTGGTGAGAGTAGTCGTGGCTCCCGGGGGCACAGTCCTATGGTCACAGAGAACTCAGTTGAGTTCCGCCACGGAATATGTGAGCGAGCGGCGCTTAGTTGAGTCTGATTTGGAATCTCTGCGTCACCGAGGCCCATTTGGAACAGTTGGTATGGTGTTCGCTTGACAGCCCAACTGTCAGGGTTCGATACTCGGTAGTGGATGCGCACTGCTGATGAGTCCCAAACATAGGACGAAACTGCCGTCCAGTGCTTCCTGCATTCTGTAGAGGTTTCTATCAGACTCGATGAATTAATTAAATATATATATATATATATATATATATATATGGTATATCAAAAATAATTTTACAAACTTTGTGGATGGCTCCTTCACACCAAAAAAAGGTGAAAATTCCATATAAACATATGCCCACAGATTCTTCGTTTTTGAATTATTGGCTTTTATTATTAGTCAGGCGTACAAGCGGGTCCTGTCTGAGCCACGCGACGATAACCAACAGTAAAGGTTCGGTGACTCGTCTGCCTTCCGTCTGAAAACGCAATCTGATACAACCGTGTAGCCTCGTGTCCATTACCATTCCCGCGGCTGTATGTAAAAATCATATCTGCCTGCTCACAATATGAATATCCCTGCCATTGTTAAACGGAACACTTCTCACTTAACTCACTACTACGCGCATTAAACGTTGAAGACAGATTAGCCACAAATGTACACGAATGACAAATATAACCTCGTCTACATGGCAACACAGCGGCATATACCGTAAACTTTCTTTAAACTTAATAACTCAAAAAGGAAGAATTTGCGGACATATGTTTATGTGGACTTTTATCCTCGTTTTGGTGTGAGGAACCCGCCCCAAAGTTTTTTTTTATTTTACATATATATATATATATATATATATATATATATATATATATATATATATATATATATATTGTTCAATTTTCTTGTTTTCGTACAAGTGATTTCTTTCCTGGGCTTCCAGTGTGTAAAAACTGTCCAAATATTCTATTTCTACGAGGGCTTTCGGCTATTCTATTTGCCGTTTTCAATGATGCTTTTGTATTTTGGTTTCTGCAGCGGTTTTTGGCTAGGCACAGTGTTTTGCTGGTCCGACAGCCACCATATTCCCCAGATCTCGTTCCTTACGACTTTTTTTCCTTTTCAAAAATTAAACCCCACTTGAAAGGAACAACATTTCAAAACTTCGAGGAAATTGAAAAGAATGCGACAAGGTAGCTGCTCACTGTCTCAAAAAAAGGAAGTTTCAGGAATGCTTCCATCAATTGAAACGACGCTGGATAAAGTGTATTGCTTCAGAAAGGGACTACTTCGAAGGAAATTAAATGCCGAATTGATATGTGCTATAGTTTTTTTTTTTCTTAACACCAGTCCCGATATGTTTTGATCTGCCCTCGTGGATGACTATATTACGCTCTCGTTATTCGATCGAGCACTATTGAGAAAAGGGTAATTTCAAACAGTAGCTGCCGCCGCTATTAACGCACCGCTCTTCATTAATGAATTGAGCCCTCTGGCAGCTGGTGTTTGTATACATCCGTATATAATACGTTACAATTTCCCTTTCTCTGTCGTGTGCCGATTGTGTTTCCAATAAACTCACTTCTGTGTCTGGCTCTTGAGTTTTGTATTAACCTTGCATTGTCTTCGAGTAAGTCTAGGCACAAAACTGAAAATGACATACCTTGTCACTGGAGATTCTACTTCTGAGACAGAAATTTTCCCATTGCACTAAAACGGGTAGATAGCTGTTCTCCTCGACGTCTTCATGTCAGTGGCTACTGCCTCTACTCATAATTAACGAGCATAGAGCCTGACATTAATCCCTATCCTGCATCACATTTGCCCTTGCAAGCAAGCAAATAAATACCAGTTTCTCTTTTAGATACATTATCAAACAACGTGCAAAGTAGGACCTAATGAAACATTCATTGATTTAACAAAGCCTCGCTCTCGAAAAGATCTTCATGCTCGAATAACAATTGTGATAACTCTTTAAACAGCTGCAAAATGTATTCGGTGAACCATGAAAACGTATTAACCTTTGCATTCAAGAACGTGGTGACTATGTTGTAAGTTAACGTTCGCTCAAATAACGAAATATACTGTATCCTGAATAAAGTTACTTTCAATTGGATGCTTTCCAATTTTAATATTTTCTATTAGAAGAGACGTTTATGGATATCGAATAAGCTATGAGTGAATTGACACCATCTCTTTCAATTAAGCTATTTAAAACTGCTTTAACAAAAACGGATTCGGTGAATAGAGTTCGAATTTCGACTCAGGCTACTTCTGTTCACTTCACAATGTTGACCTTAGAAAAGGCATGAATCCACTTCTCCTTGCTGAGTGGCGTAACTGTTGCTAGTAAGGAAAATGTGGTCGGAAAACCGAGTTCGAATCTCTGTTCACTTCACATTAATGACATTGGAAAAGACATTACTCCTTGTTGCGTGGCATAATGGTTACTAACAAAGAAAAGGGAAATTAGCGAACTGAGTTCGAATTTCGGCTGAGACTGCTTATGTTGGTTTTGCAATAATGAAGTTGGAAAAGGCCTGAATCCACTTCTCCCTGTTGGGTGGCGTAACTGTTACTAGCAAAAGATTTGGGATCGGCAAACCGTGTTCGAATTTAAACTGAAACTGCTCATATTCGTTTCGCAATAATGAAATTGGAAAAGGCCTGAATCCACTTCTCCCAGTTGGGTGGCGTTATTTGTTACTAGCAAAGAATTTGGAATCGGCAAACCGTATTCGAATTTAAGCTGAAAGTGCTCATGTTCGTTTCGCAATAATGAAGTTGGAAAAGGCCTGAATCAACTTCTCCCTGTTGGGTGACGTAACTGTTACTAGCAAAGAATTTTGGATCGGTAAACCGTATTCGAATTTAAGCTGGAACTGTTTATGTTCGTTTCGCAATATTGAAGTTGGAAAAGGCATGAATCCACTTACTTCCACTGCAGTAACCGTAAAAGGGCACTGGTGAAACAGGCTCGAGTTTCAGACGTAGCTGTTTACGTTCAGTTTGCACTCATTACCATCATTCGACCGTAGTCGGGATCATCGAGCCAATGTGAACGATCCTTTCTTTAGCTTTATAGTAAGTGCTACGCCAGGGCTATATACAGTTTTTGACTTCAGAGTTACTTTCTCCTAGACCGGTTGCCACCCAAGACTATAAAACTCCTGCTATTTACCTATGGCTGGGGGAGAAGAGGAGGATTCATACCATTCCCAAGAGTAATAGTGAATGTAATGGATCCGACTGGAATTCGAACATGGCTCTCCGATTCCTCAATCCGAGCCGATATTCATTACTCCATTGTGCCTCCAAAATTTAATAATTTGCATTAATCCTCTTGAAAAAGTATAAATTCACTTCTCCCTTCCCCCAATTTATGGGTAATCAGCAGAAGATTTGGGGCTCTTTAATCCGTTTAAGATAAAGTTACACTGTCAAAAAAAAAATAACCTAAGAATTGGCAATTGCTACAGCTAGCCTCAAGCCCGGTTGAGGAATGGAGAAGGTGGGTGCCTGGATAGCACTCCAGCTTCTTAAAACTCTATATTATAAACCTTTTGCAGGTTATTTACAGCCAAAAAATATTTTTAGATTGTAAGAATTTTGTGGAGATAATGTTATAGTGGAACACACCTATTCTATAGTTAATAGACTCTCCTACCTATAATAAGTAGTAGTAGTAATAGTAACGAGTCAGTCGCTGAGGAGGTCGCTCAATGAGTTGGTCAGTCAGTCAGTCGATGTCGGACGACCATTAGTCGGATACTAAAGTATCAGCGACCACAACTAGATTTCTCTGCGTCATTACCTATTATATCAAGTTCCTAGCGTTTTGTACGTCGAACCTATTTTAGGACCGACTTAGTACAAATACAAGCCTCCACTGTGAAACCACTCTACAACAGATAATAATGATTTCCTGATACAAGTCCTACTAATTAAATTATAGCTGGGCGTTGGAAGGGGGCGAAGAAGAGGTAGATTTATTCCTTTCCCAACGGGTATTTCCGTATAAGTGATTATAAGGAACTCGGCTGTTCGAGATAATTTCTTTTTTTTTCAATGACTTCCATTTTCTCTTTTCGAGTTTACGGACACATCACGTTGAAACACTAGTTCCCGTACGATTACCTAAGTTTAAGCAACGTCAAGCGTGATCAGTACCTAGATGAGTGACCACTTGGGAATAACAGGTGCTGTAAGCTTCGATGTGCAGATGGTGTATTGGATAATGGCTCTGAATTGTTAATCGGAGAGCCGTGTTCCAGTTCCCGGTTATATTCACTTACGTGCAAATACCCTTGGGAAAGTGATGAATCCACCTTTTTTACCCCCCACCCAGCTATTGGTTAATTAGTAAGACTTGTATTAAATAACCGGCAAAGGGTTGATAAGCCATATGTATGCATAGCTGGCCACTCGTATTCGAGGATATCCGCCTACTAGGGCGGTTAGCCAATCCCTATTGCAGGCGCTCACTCAGGCATATTTGTGGATATTCAACACCCACAGAGCCAACCTGTGTTTTATGCTGCAACTATGCTGAGCAGACCTTAGTTACAGTTTCTGGGAAATAGCGTGTTATCTGGCGTGATCAACAATTTAAACAAGGCCGGCACACTCAAACCCTCGGCAACGATGACTTGTGACTTCGTGCTAGCATAGCTATCGTCTACCCAATCTCATTCACAAGTCTTGGATTAACCCGTGGTATGGTTTTCAGGCACTTTCCAAATGTGCCGCACGCTAGGATCGACCCCTTCCTGCTTGACAAATCGACCATGGTGAAATTCGAACCCGGATCTCGTGATCGGAATTTGAACGTTTAATCACTCGGCCTCATAAGCCATAAAATATGAATTAAAGAGACAAGAGTCACGGAAAGGAGAAGGGAGGAGAAATGTCCAAAATCATATTGAACTAAGAGAAACAAAGGACAACTGAGAATATAGATGAGTGGTGATCAGCGAATTACTTCAAACTGGGCGACATCTCCTTGTGGATAAAAGCGTAGTTGAAGTAATTCAGTGACTTGATTCAAAGAGTTATGATTTCAATACCTGACCACAGCAGAAGTAAAAAAAAAAAAATCTTAGAGAGTTGTGTTACTAAAGGGAACTAACTGAAACTGATTTATCCAGAAAAGGCATGGCACGTGAAATGAGAACAATTTACCCTAGAAGGTTCGATCGAAATTACAACGTATATCGCCTGAAGAAGGCCGGAGAGTATAATGGCCGAAACGCCGTGAATATGACATCAAAGATGAGGACAACAGTCCGAACAATGTAATTGCAATAATTTATTAAAGTCGTTGGGCTTATTTAACGATGCGATAAGGGAATTTCTACCTGTTTTTTATTATCGTAGAACTCGCCATGAGCTTATTCAATCATTAATTTTCATCAGAATTTTAAAATAGAAAAACCGTGAAATTTTCACGAATCTTTCTAGACTCTATATAACATGGTATACAGAGTTTGTTATCTTATTTCTTGACGTGGCGTTTTTTCTTTCAGCGCGCTCTTCCCCAGTTTTCGGCGCGAACACTGAAGAAATCGAAAATCGGAATGCGACGTGGGGTGATCATTAGCCGGTCGGTGTGGGTCACGTTGTATGTCTACCATGTTCTATCTCCACTATTAACGACGCTCAGCAATTAGGAAACTGACTTAGCAACCAAATCTTCGGGTGAGGCAGAAAAAATAAATTCAGTAACAACAATCTCTTTGTTTTCGTAGTTGTGATGAACCGTCGATTTTCTGGTCTAGACAGGTTTTTTCCATTGAACCAACGCTTTCGAAACACCTAATGGTGTTGTCTACTGTTACTCAAGCGTTCTCTAAAACGTCTGCACATTTCACTTTTACTTTTACTTTTACTTTCACTTTTGTAGGCTGTTCTCAAAAATACAGGGTGTCCCTAAAAAGTTGACATCATTTAAAATGTGAATATCCGAGTAACTACGTGTCCCAGGCAAACGAAATTAAGTCGGTTTCATGTTGAGCAATAAAAGATTTATTTTTCCAAAATTCGAACAAGATATTCAAACGGATGTAGATTTTATAACCGATTTCACAAAGCTTCACAAATATTCAATATACGCATCATCTGTGACATGATACACGTCAAGTTGGTAGTCCAGCTCCTGCCAAACACGCTGTAGCATGTCTTGCGTAACTGTTATACCATAATACCTATTCTATTGTAATAGACTCTCCCACAGTAGTAGTAGCAGTGGCCAGTTGGGCTCAGTGGTGTTGAGCGAGTCAGTCGATGTCGGACATTGAAGTATCAACCATCACAACTAGATTGCTGCGTCATTAACTCTTATTTCAAGTTCCTAACGTTTTGTACGTCGAACCTAATTAAGGACGACTTATTGAAATACAAGCCTCCACTGTGGAAACTACTTTACAACAGTAACATTTTCCAGCGCCTCAGTGATTCTCTGCTTAAGTTCCTTTAGGCTTGTAGGAAGAGCGGGAATATAGACCTGTCGTTTCACATAGTCCCATAGAAAAAATCACAAGGTGTCAAGTCAAGTGAACGTTGTGGCCATTGCAACAGCACATTTTCATTATCACTGGCAGGACCCGATATCTCTTCCTGGTAGATTCTCATTGAGATAAGTCCGCACAATCAACTTAGTTTTTACACAATTTGTTAAAATTTGAGATCATTTGAGCGAGAATTGGCTATTTTATTAGACTTCAAAATGATGTCAATTGTGAGGGACACCCTGTGTATAATCTGCTCTTCGTTTGTAGGATGTTCCTCGCCAGAGATCCTCCTGTTTATCTAATATAGCTAAAGTGTTATCTGATATTTTTTAATCCAGTTATATATTGTATAAAGAAATTTTGTACTGTGTGATATTATTGAGTGTCTCATTACTTTTAGCCAACAACTGGGGTGTTAATATTAAGTCTAGAGTGTAAGTTTTTTTTTTTTTTTTTTTTTGAGAAGGTTCTTCTTCTAGGCAAGATAACCGAACGGCTTTGTGAGGCTCCTCAAAAATGTAATAAAAATAAAATGAACCGGAACAGCGTGTACGCTCTGATACTGAACATTCCGAAACGTTTTTCTCATCAGTGAAATCACTTTTAGAGCTAAAGTTTGCCTTTACCAATTCGGAGACTAGCCTGACAGTGCAAGGTTTGAATTTGCTATTTGACGAAAGCACGTTACTCCTTGAGACTGCTACGAATCTATGCCTGCTAGCTTCAGTTTCGTATCCCGAAACGTAAATATCAGTAATTTTTTTGAAAGATTTTTTTTTTATCCGACATTAGTTCTTATTACTATTAAACATTATTTTTAGAAGGTACACGTGTTTGAATTGCTATCCCTATTTTTTTTTTAATTTTATTAAACAGTGGAGTTAATAACAAGTCGCCTAAATTCATAAGTCCTACTAAAGAAAAATTGTACGACTGACAGAAATCAAAACTGCATCAATTTTTGACCATCAAAGAACGACTTATTGAGCCAAAGTATGTCTCTGCTAAGTGGGCCCATGGAGACCAGCTTGACATTATCCTGTCAGAATTACCTTTTGAATTACCTATTTAAGGAAGGCATATCTCTCGTAATGATTTGTACGAATTTATATCTGCTAGTTTCAGTTTCATGCTCCGAAACGTAAACAAAGGTAATTTATTTTTTTTATTTTATTCTTCACTAGCAGTAGAGCCCGGGGATATAACAGTAAGAGATAGATCAAGTATCCACCATCATAAAGACTGAAAAATAAAATTGACAATTGTTTAAGGTTGACGGACACGCATGTCTTAATTAGTTTTTTTTTTTTTTTTTACGAATTGGTCAAACCCAAATCAAACAAAAACATTGTTTTCAATCGTTATGAGTCTCTACCGATTGAATAGAATTTTATTATAAACAATTGTCTTGTAAATGGAATTTTTAAAGCATTCTGAATGTAAAAATAAAGAAAAAAGTGTGCAAGACAATAAGAAACACTACATGCCAAAAAAAGTGAAGTTTTGTTGAAATCGGTTGAAAAATGTAGGTAGCCTTTCTGTAATCTTTTAGTTTTACAATTTATGATTTTTACTTATTGAATACAGTAAAAAAAAATTGCATATTTTGCTTGTGGTGATTCATAATTAGAATTCTGATTTGAATATATTTTCCACTCGTTGTTTCTAATACAAAAAATATTAACTTTATTTGGGTTTATTAATTATGATCTAACAAATCTTATTCATTTAGTAGCCTTTCTGTAATAATCTTTTTTACAATTTATGATTTTTACTTATTGAATACAGTAAAAAAATGGACACCATGTGTATTTAAAGTAGTTTCCCGTTCCGGTTATTATTTTTAGTTAGGACTTGTGTATGTTTAGATTTCATTATCTTTCCCTAAAGATAAAGAATTTATCCGATGTTTGTATTCGTTCAATCAGTATAGATCGTTAGATTATTGTTTAAGGTTGACGGACACGCATGTCTTAAATAGTTTTTTTTTTTTTTTTACGAATTGGTCAAACCCAAACTCAAACAAAAACATTGTTTTCAATCGTTATGAGTCTCCCGATTGAATTTTATTATAAATAATTGTCTTGTAAATAGAATTTTTAAAGCATTCTGAATGTTAAAAATAAAGAAAAACGTGTGCAAGAGAATAAGAAACACTACCTGCCAAAAGAAAAAAAAGAAAAAAAGTGAAGTTTTGTTTTATCGGCTGAAAAATATAGGAAATCCGCTCCCATATTTAAAGGAACCCACACACACGCAAACAACCCGATGTGAGTTGTCTCCCTTCCATTTTCACAATGTCTCTTAATCGTGTTTTCAAATTGATTTTGTGCAAAAACAATTATATTTTTCCCATTTTTGGCGCTGTTAGAACCACCACAAGGTAATTTTATATAGTCCTGTGAAGTTTTGTTGAAATCGGTTGAAAAATGTAGGAAATCCGATCCAATATATAAACGTTACACACACACACACACACACACACACACACACACACACACACACACACACACACACACACACACACACACAATCTGCGTTTTATAATAAGTAAGATTAGTCTTTATTACTATGAACGTAATATTATAATTAATTTTAAAGATCGTCTTTCTACTCTCTTTGTTTAATGATTGTCTTATTATTTCTGGTCAACAATTGGAATGTTGGTATTATGTTTTCAAAAGTGTAAATTTTTGAGGC